GCTCTGAGCTGTCAGCACAGAGCCCGACACGGGGCTCGAACCCACAAACCGCGAGATCATGACCCAAGCCGAAGTCGGACGTTCAACTGACTGAGCCACCCAGGTGCCCCAGTAATTTTATGTTAAGTGACTCTGATGATAGAAATTTTGTGCTTTTGTCTTTTATTTTTAAATTTCATTTTCCTAGAAGTTCCTTCTCATTGCATCTTACATAAGTATTGATCTGTGACAGGCTGGAAATCGGAACTGGTCCTTTGCCACAGGTGGTCCGAGACCCTTTCACGTGGGTCTGTGCCATGGGCAGCTCGTCTCAGTTTGTACAGTTTTTTCATTTCCTCTTCTTTGACAGGTGTTTGGAAAAGATCATTCGTAGCATGCACAGGGAGCAGCAGATGCCTGTGACCGATTAGCCTTGAAAAGTTCTAGAAGATAGAACTGGCCACAGTTCACAGAGGGCTGTGGTTGCCGAACCCCGCAGGGTGTGCGTCTCTGTGCTGACTTGGTGAAGGGCTTTTTTCATTTAGAGACGCAGAGACCGGCAGCCCCGGCTGTACAGCTTTAGCCGCGGGTGAAAAACAACTACGGGAGCACAGACAACACAGGGAACTGTCAGTTGTGGGAAACAGAATAGTCAGTGTCGCCAAAAGCCTCTCTTGGGACTTCTCATTCCACGGTGGAGACCATCCCTCACGCTGACTAAACCAAAGTCTTGTGACTTTTTGTGGTTTTGTGACCGCCAGAGAGGTGGCCTCGATGCCAAGATCTCAGAATCCTCAAGACCCACAAAAAGACAAACATGAATGCCACCAGTAGGGGAGATGGGTGGTGGTTAACACAATCTGATACAGAACTGTCTAGAAGAGTCACGGAAGGCTTGATGGTGGAAATGTTGCCAATTTGAGACTTCATAGCACAAATAGGATTTTTGACAAACAGATGAAAGAACTAAACTGTAAAACAAAATCACATTCTGTCGTGAAGTGCTTTGCTCAGGTCATAGAGCAATGGTTTCTCTTTTTAAACATGTTCTGGCCGACTCCTTAAGGACTTATGAAGGATTTTGCTATTGATTTGGGGCCATAGGAGTATATTTGTGTAGTGTTTTTGGTGTGGCTTCTTCTCCCTTGACGCACTGAGTATTAGGAGTAGTGATTTTCATCGCTAGAATGTCAGCTCTTCTGAGCACTCTGGAGATGTAGTGTTTCCTCCAGGAATCAGTTGGTACTGTGTTTAGTCATCCTTACTGTCTAGTTTGGGGAGCAAAAGAGATTGCTGTAGCAATCCGAAGTGTAGTTGATTTTGTTGGATCGTCCAGCAACCTTGCTATATTCATTCATTAATTCCAGTAGTTTCTCTGTATGTTCTTACAGATTTTTTTCATACATAATCATGCAGTCTGTGAATAATGATACTTTTATTCCTTGCTTCTCACCCGGTGTTTAACTTCCCTTTTCGCCCATGGAACCTGGCTAATAGGACTTCCAGAATGATGTCAGTCAGAAGCGGTGTGGTGGGTGTCCGTGGCCTTACTCTATTTGTGGAGGCCCAGCAGGGGGCTCTTTCCCGCCAGTATTTCATTTTTTAGTGCAGATACTCTCCATCAGATCAAGGAAGTTTCTTTCTTTTCTTACTTTGCTAAGAGTTTTTATCATGAGTGGTTGGTAAACTTTCCAGATGTTTTTTTTTGCATATGTTAAGACAACTATGGTTCTTCTCATTTCTGAAATATGATGAATTAATTGATTGCCTTTTTAAAAAATTAAGACCGTTTTTTAAGAGCAGTTTTAGGTTTACGACAGAATCGAGGGGAAGGTACAGAGAGTTCCCGTGTGCCCCCTGCCCTGGTACATGCATAGCTTCCCACGTTACCAGCATCCCCCCCTACCCCCAGAGTGGTACATGTGTTACTGTGGACAAGCCTACATGGACACATCAGGATCACCCAGAGTCCATAGTTTACCTTAGGGTTTCCTCTTGGTGGCATAATGATGTGAGTTTGGACAGGTGTGTCATGACAGGTATCGGTCACTAACAGTCATACTCTTCTCCCTGCCCTGAAAATTGTCTGTGTTCTGCCTGTTCATCCCTGTCCCCCCCCCCCCCCCCCCCCCCCCGGCTCTGCATCCACTGACCATTTTACTGTCTCTGTGGTTGGCATGTAGTTGGAATCGTACAGTATGATCGGCTTCTGTCACTGGTAATATGCATTTAAGGTCCCTCCAAGTCTTTTCATGGTTTGGTAGCTCACTTCTCTTTAGCCCTGAATAACACTGCATTGTCTGGCTGGACCACAGATTGTCTGTCCGCTTCCAGCTTTTGCTGTTGTTAACAATGAATATTAAGCCACCTTTGTATCCCTTTAATGAATCCCTTTTGGTCATAATATGCTATGTTTAAATATGGAATGCTTAAATTTGCTAATATTTTGTTAAGATTTTTGCACCTGTGTTTATAAGTGAGACTGAGTTGTGCCCTTTCCCTTATTGTCCTTGTCTGGTTTTCTATCACTGTTTTGCTGGTCTCATAAAATAGCTTGGGATATGTTCCCTATTTGTTCAGTGGAAGAAGTCGTGTAAGATTAATATTCTTCCTTAACTTGTTGGAAGAATTCAAATATTCCTTTGTGGGAAGAATTTTAATCACAGGTTGACCATTTTTAACGGAATAGGTCTATTTAGACTTTGTATTTCTGTTTTGGGTTTTGTACCGCAGCACTTTCTACGGCTTGAGCTGCACTTTGCAAAGAGCTGTGTGTGCGTCTCGACTCTCGTATTCCATGGCATGAAGTCGTTCACGGTACTCTCTTCCTAATATCTCGTACTGTGTTATTACCTCTTACTCTCGACCTTCTCCTTCTGTTGTGCTTCATCATCAGTATTGTTAGTTTTCTCCTTCTCTCCTTCCCTTGATCAGGCTTGTTGGATGCTGTCAGTTGCGTTATTTATTTATTTATTTATTTATTTATTTATTTATTTATTTATTTTCAAAACAACCTTGATTTTGTTTGACTTCTAAATTGTATTGTGATATATGGATTTAGATACTTAATTTCCAGTCTTCATTTCTGATATATGCATTTAAAAGTATAGGTTTTAGGGGTGCCTGAGTGGCTCAGTTGGTAGAGCATGTGACTCTTGATCTCAGGGTTGTGAGTTCAAGCCCCATGTTGGGTGTAGAGATTACTTAAAAATAAAACTCTTAAAAAGAAAAAGAAAAAGCATAGATTTTAATCTAAGCACAGCTCTGTCTACATGTAGTGTTGATCTTTCTTTTAATCGTAGCCTCGAATTCAAAATACTTTGAGTTCCTCTTTGGCTAATGGGTTACTTGAAATACATTGCTTCATTTCCAGTCAGTCGGGGATTTTATAGTTATTTTGTTGTTGTCGAGCTTAATGCTAGCCACGGAATATACTCTGAATAATTTAGTCCTTTGGTATTTCTTGAACCTTACTCTTTCACCTGGCTTGGGGTCAGTTTTAGCGAATGCCTCACGTGCGTATTTAGTGGGTACTCCCCGTGCAGAGGTGAACTGTGCTGGGGCGTAGTGCTTTCTGCTGGTTAGACTGACATTACTGGTCACGCTGGTCATGTCCTCTGTACCGGACCGAGGTTGGGAGGGGATAACCGGGTGGACTCCTGGCCCCTGCTGCCGACCTTCAGCTTCGCTCAGCTGCTGCCGGCTCCCTCTGGGCTTAGTTTCGGGACTGGTGACTGTCTTAGGGGACAACTAGCAAAGTGTGTGACTCAGTTCTCCACTCTGTCCTGCTCACCAGAGTCCTGGGGGCCCCGTGCTCATAACTGGGTCTCTCACTGTCAAAAGCCCGGCTGGTTTCTCCCATCCGTGGCTCTTTGTTGATCTTCACGCTCTTGAAGGCCCAGAATTGGCATATGCCCTTTGATAAGTCATCTCTTTTTTTTTTTTTTTTTTTAATTTTTTTTTCCAACGTTTATTTATTTTTGGGACAGAGAGAGACAGAGCATGAACGGGGGAGGGGCAGAGAGAGAGGGAGACACAGAATCGGAAACAGGCTCCAGGCTCTGAGCCATCAGGCCAGAGCCCAACGCGGGGCTCGAACTCGCGGACCGCGAGATCGTGACCTGGCTGAAGTCAGACGCTTAACCGACTGCGCCACCCAGGCGCCCCGATAAGTCATCTCTTCATGTCTCCATCTGTGTCCCCTGCTGTCCTGGTTGCCTCACGGTGTCTCAGACTCCCAACTATTGTTTGGGCTGGTTTTTAATGTGACTTATCTGAGTTTTCTCAGTGGGAGTGTTAGTCTTGGCCAAGCTATTCCCTCACATTCAAATGGAAGTCCTCCTGTCACACCAGCAGACATTTATTTGTTTACTTTCTGGTTTAGTTTTGTTCTCAGTTGTGACCTGTCTGACTCTCCTGCTGAGGGACTGGCTAACACGGGACAACCTGGCTTTGACCGAGGGGTTTTCATCACCAGTGCCTAGTACACGTAGTGACTTCTTGTTGAATTTTTATCATGTGAAGAAAGAACTTGTATCTCACGTAAAAGGTTTCAAAAGTAGGCAGTAAAATTAACATATTTGGCTTTCTTATGAGATTTCCCCACAGATTTAAAGGCTGTGATTTTAAAAAGATGATACATTTACAAACGTGTTATCTGTAAACAGGGTAACTTAACCGTTATAGGTAGAAACTTAACCTGTTTATAGATAACACAGTGAATTTTTGACAGAGCTGAACTAGGACCCCTGGCCTTTTAATCTGTTAATACAAATTTAACAGATATTTATTCTGCCACTGTGAATTAGGTAGTGCCCTGGGTGTGGGCGAATACAATGATTATTTTGGTAGACCAGGCCTCCGTTCTCCTGACGCTCACCTCGGGCATATAACACACCACAGGGGAAGAACGGAGAACGGTGTTGTTAACGTAAGGATCAGCATATCACGTTTTCATTGATTTTAACCACATTTTAATAGGTCTCAAGAATTGTACGCTGATGATTCTTTTTCTCTTGCAGATTATGACAGATACATAGCACCAAGCAAAATAATGGCAGCTGCTTACCTTGACCCAAACTTGAATCACACCCCGAATTCGAGTACCAAGACCCATCTGGGTACCGGAGTGGAACGTTCCCCCGGGGCAATGGAGCGAGTGTTGAAGGTCTTTCATTATTTTGAGAACAGCAGTGAGCCAGCCACTTGGGCCAGTATTATCAGGCACGGAGATGCTACTGATGTCAGGGTAAGTGTGTCTTCCTAGAACACATCCTCCGTGTAAATGGCAGGTTAGATAGGCACAGACGTTAACGGCACATACCAAAAAAAAAGATAATTTTTTTTCTCACATTACAGAGATGTTACCTTTTTCTTTATAATATTTATGCAGTTAATATGTGACTAGAGTTTTAATTGTAAAATTTCGTAGGAACATAATAACTGAACCATATGTTATTCATATAATGCCATTGACGTGGCATTTTTCTCTGTTTTTTTTTTTCTTAACTCGTCAGGATATAAGAGAACAAAGCAATGAAAAGAAACTCTAATACTTAGGAAATAAATTATTTCCTAGAAGGTATCTGCATGACTCAAAATAGGATAGACTCTTCGAAAACTGATAGGTTCTACAGACCGGACCCTTGTCACAGCTCTGGGATCGAAAGGGCCCCTGCTTGTACAGCTTACGTCCTACTGGGGAGACACCCACGGCCTCGGTTGCTGTCCCGTGCGGGGTGCACTTCCCAGGGCTCCTAGTGGCGAAGAAGCCTGTGTGTAGCTGAGCGTAGGAGGTAGCGTGGGCGTCAGTGAGCAGAGCACCGTGGGCGAGAACAGGGAGAGGCGCCTTCGGAGGGGAGGCAAAGGGTGCCGACAGGGAGGACCGAGAGGGCAGCACTGTGATTGCAGCACACTGAGTCCAGGACGTCGATTTTCAGGAAGTGCTCGCTCGGGCCGAGTGTTACAGAACCCTTTTCCTCCTTCCTTCCCCTCAACTTACTCCCTGTCCGCCGTTAAGGGGGACGGTGTCCAGGGCCAGGATGAACAGATAGATCTTTTTTCTCCCCTATCTTTTTGTAATAACGAAGCCAATTAATTTTCTACTCTTTAACTTATACGCATGAACTATTTTTAAGCAAGTTAAAGGAATTGGTAGAATTTAGATTTAAGGGTATAGTACTACATTTGAATTCTATGTAATTTTCTGTTACCTCTGTAACATTGCAATACTGACTATTCAAATGGACTAATTATTCAGAGGAGAAGAATTCGTTCAGTATTTAAATATGTATTAACATCTATTCATGTGTGATAATTGAAATAAAATAGTCTCTTGTTACAAACTTCTTACGAAGCTTGATGGCTTTTTCTAGTTTTCCTATAGTTTTGTTTTACATTTAAGCTTGTAAACACAGTCACTTGGTAGGAAGTCTGGCAGCCAGTGTTCTACCTTAATAGCACTATTCATACTGGAGAGAAAGCATACAATGTATGCTCATGTAACTTTTATGAGAAGGCTCTTAGTAGGTGTTCTAGTCTTTGTGAATTTCAGTTATGGTGAATGAGGACATTTCTTAAAGCATTCCATCAGCCTTATTAGTAAACTTCACAGCATTTGTACAGGAGGGGAGCCTTTCAGAGATGTGAATTTGACCAGACATTTAGCAAATGTTCAAGATTGGTTATATCTGAAAATGCACCTTGGAAGGGCTCCATGACAGAGGTATTTTAGTATCAAATGTACTGCACACAAGAGGATTAAGATCAAGGAGAGAACCAGTGATCACTGGGCACATGTCAAGCCTTTAGCCAATGTTACAAATTTACCAGACATCAAAACGTTTATATTGTGAAGAAAAATTTAAACCAGATTCACATACCTGAGTTATGACAACATATTTGTTGAACTTCTATGAAGATCAGTGCAGGCAAATCCATGTGGCTGAAAACCAGGTTGTTTTATTTCTTAGTAGGTGATAAATGTTTTGAAATTTAATAACTCTCATTAGTTGATGATTTTCAACTTGAGGCGAAGAAATCTCAATTGGCATCGGTTCACTGCAGCTTTTCCTGTGATGGAAGGTGGCTGTTATTCATAACCCACTTTTATTTAAGGCTGTAACGTTTGAAAATGCAGAGTTATTAGTTGATTGGTGGATTTGCACAAGTGAAGAACATAGTACTGCGGAACGTGCCTATGGCATCTTTCTCCCCGAGAAGCACCAGACGGAGGACCGTTACAAAGGGACCGGCATATATTGCTAGGCAGGAGCGCAGTGGAAGGAACGTGGCAGCATTTGAAGCCTGATGACCTACAACAGAAATGGGGTGGGGGGATGAGTTAGGAGTGGAAGTGTAGGCACTTGGCAGAAGCAAACAGACCATTTAATAATGGTAGCAAAGAGGAAGCCAGACCATCCATTTTCGGAAAAGACACAGCCCACTGTGGTCCGAAGTAACCGAATAATTAGCCTCAGACCCTCTGTTGCTGCACTGCCTGATACACTAGACGTCTACAGCAATTGAACACTTGAATGTAGCTAGTCTGAGCTGATGTTCTGGAAGTAGAAACTGCAAGATTTCAAAGATTTAGTGTGAAAAAAGAATGTAAAGTATCGTCAGTAATCTGTTCTGACTGCCTGTTGAAAGGATAATGTTCTTGACCCAGTAGGTTCAATAAAATACAAATAGTAAAATTGCAACAACCCATCTCTTTTACCTTTTTTTTAAACATTGAAAAATAACTTAGGGAGCTTCCATTGTATTTCTGCTAGATGGTTGTGCTCTGTAGGAAGTGATTATCAGACAGACTGCTTGACTCCGAAGAACACCACCTTTGGAGGAGTTGAAAGGTTTATTTTTACCAGGAAAATCCTGGATTTTTATCATAAGTCATTATTTCTCATGCTGCAGTTAATACATTTTACTCCTTTTACATGTATGTGCTAATTACACTTTAATTAGTTTACATGTTTGGTTGTTGACAGGACCCATAGGAGCCCATCAAGTTATAGGCAGAGTACAGAGCAGCAACAGTAGAGGCTCCTTTTTGGAGGCACCTGCAGGCCTCGGGGGCAGGCCTCGGGGCCTGGGACACAACCAGGCCGTCCCCAGCCCCTGTGGCAGCACCTGAGTGTGAGGAGGCCAGAGCCCCCTTGTGGGGAGTCTGTGAGACGGGCGTGTGGGTGCGCTCTGTCTGCATCATCAGCCTCAGGCACCACCAAAGTCAAGTGCCAGTCGTAGCCCAGTCATGGTCACTGAATGGTGCTGGCAGGCTGATGCATCCTGCCCCTGCATAACCAGCAGCCCACGGGTGCAGACGTCGCTTACCTTGGCTGTAGTTGGGGCTCTGTGCCAAGAGCATGTTCCAGGCGACTCTGGAGCTCAGTGTGGGGTCAGCCCAGAAGAGTCAAGGTTAATCCATGCTGGCCTGTATTGAATAAGATTGGTCATCTAGAAACATTGTAGTGGTATGTCAGGATGATAAGGGTGTGTAGAAAATTCCATATCCTACCAGAGGAGTCCCCTACTTGGAGAAAAGAATGACACTTAACGGACTTCTCATCAGCAATGCTGGATGCAGGACGGCACTGGAACAGCATCTTCTGAGGGTGCAGGGAGGGGACTCGTACCTCGGAAGTTTTCCAGACGAAGCACCGATCATGAAGACGTGGAATGAAGGGAGCGTTGATACCACAGGCTGTCTCTGAGGAGACAGTCGGGAGACATAACGGGGCATGAAGACCCGTGAACCCAGGAAAAAGTGCTGTAGGGACGTGGGCGGCGGCCTGCACGCCGCCCCCTTGCTCCTCCCCTGCGTTTTCATGGTCTCTTCAGGCCTTGACCAGGGTTTAAGCAGCTCTGCCTTTCCCACCCCCATGCCCCGTTCTGACTGCTCTCCCTCTGACCTTAGGACCTGAGTGCCACCCGGCTGCGCGTGCCCCTGTCCTCCATCTTCACGCTTCTGACGCCAAGAGAACCATCCATGAGTCCGTCTAGGGGCTCCCCTTCCTTCAGTGACTTGGTCCCTTGGAATCATCTGTTATTCCTCCTTTGCTTACACCTGACGTCCAGAGTGTCAGCTTCTTCTGTCCACACGTTTTCCCAAATACACCCAGGATCCGCCCAGTTCCTATGGCGTCTACTGCACGTCTTCTTGGAGCCACCACTGTTTCCATGTGCGTCGCCACATGGCCTCCCGACACCCCGCCGTCCCCTGGGGCCCCCTCAGTCTGTTCATGAGCCAGCAGCCAGGTGATCCCATTGAAATGAAAGCCAGAGCACGTCAGTCCTGCACGGAGCCTTCCCTGGGCTTCCTGTCTCATTTAGGGTGAACGTTCAGGTCCTTTAAAAGCCTCTAACTCTTCCCTCTCCCTGTTCTGCCCCATGGCCTTCTGTCCTCCGGCTCATTCCCTTTGACTTTCTGCTTCCCGGACTGTTTCTCTAACAGGCCTATCTTCTAATCGGTAATTTGCTCAAAACCTCCAGCAGCTCCCCATTTCTCTCAGAGGAAGGCCAGATTCCTTCAGTGTAGGCCGTACAAGGGCCTACGGGATCTGGCTCCTTGTTACCCGTTCTTACCTTACTTCCGGTGATTGTCCTCACTCTGTCTCCCAGCTCAAGAATGCTCCCTCTCCTCCACCTTTTCCGTTGCCCATCACCCTGTTTTGTTGTTTTCTTCACATGCTTCCTCCTTACTGAGATTGTCTTGTTTCTTGATTTGTTTGCTCCCTCATTCTCTGTTTTCTTCCCCTAGACTGTAAGCCCGGGGTCTTAATGCTCCGTGGTCTCATCACCTGTGTCTTCAGCAGGGCCTGCTGGGCACACAGCATGTACTTGATGGATTCCTCTTTGAATGACTGCATGAAATCCTAGGTGAAATGGAGTACTTCTGACAGAAATAAAGTTAGGTAAACTGGTGGCAGGAGGAGAAAGTAGTGGGCTGATAGCCGTGAAAGAAACTGAGAGATTACACCCATCCAAAACCATACCTAGCCTTACTGATACTTCTAGCAAACCTTCATTCCTACCTTATTACTATTTTCTTTAAATCACAGGGCCTGCAACAATGCATTTTGTACCCAGACACCAAATCTAGACAAGTACAGATTAAGTAGCGGCTGAGTTGTTGGACAATATTGTTGTTATGTGCAGAGTGTCTTCAAGTTTACTAAAGGGCTCGGTGCCCTTTTCTAGCTACCTAGCACACTCTGAGGTCCCAGTACTCGTCCTGAGCCACTCAGTTAC